GGTGTGGCCGCGTTGTAGTGGTTTAACTATGAAATGTACGATTTTTGTACAACAGCTCTCGCGAACGCACTTCTGAACTGGGTACCGAGCGCAGACCGTAGTCGAGTGGACAGAACCACAGACATGCGGACCGGACAGAACCATGGACTCGCGTTCAGGACCTCCCGTCCCTCATCCAAAACTCCTGAATTTAAAGCTCGGATACCAAAATGTTTCCCATGCACTAACAATGCATGTTCTTTGTGTGAGTTATTATTGGACTATTTGGGCAGAGAGGGGATTTTCTTAGTTTTTTTCCACAGTTAGTGCCACTTTATTCCCAAACTCTTGTTATTTGTATCGAGAAATATTAAATAAAGCTTAATGTCAAGGCCTGGACTCACCTGCACATGGACTATTCCAACCACTCCCCTCTCACCTGCACATGGACTATTCCAACCACTCCCCTCTCACCCTGCACATGGACTATTCCAACCACTCCCCTCTCACCCTGCACATGGACTATTCCAACCACTCCCTCAGGCAGGAGACTGGGTCCATCAGGACTAGAACCTCCCCCACCAAGAACAGTTTCTTCCCTCTGCTGTTGGACTCTTGAAACACTTCTTAACCTGTCCCCCCCGCCCTTTATAAAGTCACTTTACTGCCCATCATACGTCACTTTACTTCACTGTACTGCTGTCACCTTACATTGTGTGCACCATGTGCACTTTTATATTGTAAATAGTAACTGTATCTCTATTTTAAATTTAAATTTATTCCTTAGAAGTGTTTTTTAATATTATTTTTATTATGCCTCTCTACCCTTACCTCTCTTTCTGACAGTTGCACTGAGCCAAAGCAATTTCCAAGTCTGTGACTTCCTGTTACTTGCGTGGCAATAAAAATGATTCTGATTCTGATCCCACAGTTTAATGAGCACAAAACTGTACGTCCTGAAATCAACAAACAACACTACTCTTTACACCTGTTGTTCTGTGGAAATCCATCATTCTCTCTTTAGTCAAAGTGAACTTGAACTTTAAAATCACAAACACCATCAGACATTTTCCTCACACCACAATAAATGGATTTCATTGGTCGCAGGTTTAGAAGTCCAGATTTTGAACTTAATCTCAGCAGTTTGACTAAGTTCTATTTACTTCCATCCATCCATCCATTTTCTTCCGCTTTATCCGTTGCCGGGTTGCGGGGGCAGCAGTCTAAGCAGAGACGCCCAGACTTCCCTATCCACACACACTTCCTCCAGCTCGTCCGGGGGGACCCCAAGGCGTTCCCAGAAGACCCAGCGTGTCCTGGGTCTTCCCCGGGGCCTCCTCCCGGTGGGATGTGCCCGGAACACCTCCCCAGGGAGGCGTCCAGGAGGCATCCGGAACAGATGCCCGAGCCACCTCAACTGATTTGTTTGATCAAGTTCTGTTTACTTGATGAAACAAATGATTTTGTATCTTGAGCAGAAACGATGCCAAAGAACGTGCTGCTGTTTAGACGCTTCATACGCTTTAATACATCATTTGTATTAAAGCTACTCTTCAACTGTGATGACAGAATGCATAATAAATAGACAATCACAGTGTATGATTTTTAAATAATTTCCATCTTATTGTGGGACATAAGTATTTGCCAGAGCCTCTCCTTAGCTGCCCCTGGTTGTGTGTTTGGGGTCGCTGGCCCTGGTTGTGTGTTTGGGGTCGCTGCCCCTGGTTGTGTGTTTGGGGTTGCTGCCCCTGGTTGTGTGTTTGGGGTCGCTGCCCCTGGTTGTGTGTTTGGGGTTGCTGCCCCTGGTTGTGTGTTTGGGGTTGTGGTCAAATGGTCCATGCTCTTGCTGAGGGAAGGAGATTGTTGAGAGATTGTCCAAGATCTCATGACACACGGTCCCATCATCCTCCCTTCATCAGTCGTCCTGTCCCCTTTGAAGAAAAGCATCTCCAAAGAATGATGTTTCCACCTCCATAATTCTTGGGGTTGTACTCATCCTTCCTCCAAACAAGGCGTGTGGAGTTTTGACCAAAAAGCTTCCCTTTTGTCTCATCAGACCACATGACTTTCTCTCATTGGCTGGCAAACCAAGACAAGGGCCAATATTTGAGCATAAAAAGATTTGAAATGCAAAGGATAAATATGCAATAAGATTCATCTGTAAAAATGAGAAAACTATGAGAGCTGAGTCCATAGCTAAAAAACTCTTAGGTAGAGGCCCTAAAGCGTTTTGGAAAGAGGTTAAACTGGTTAATAACTGTAAAAACCCTCTACCACACACAGTAGATGGAGTAAATGGGGCAAATATGAAAGCTGATCTCTGGCGACAGCACTATTATAACCTTTTCAACTGTGTGCCGAGTGAAATTTATAGTGTTAAAAATGTTGATTATGTTGAAACTATCACCACCCAAGAGGTTTATCAAACTGTCAATAGTCTGATAATAAATCTACCAAACATCTTAAGCATGCCAGTGTGAGGCTGGCTCCTCTCCTGACCATATGTTTTAATGCCTTAGCTGTGCATGGGTTCATTCCTGACCCCATGATGACAGTTCTTCTAGTGTAATAAAGGACAAAGCTGGAATAGTGGGCAGCTCAGATAATTATAGACCCATTGCCCTCGCCAACATTCTGTCTAAAGTTGGAGAATATATTTTTCTGAACAGACTTGTTACATTTATCACTGAAACAGACAATCAATTTGGTTTTAAAGCAAATCATGGAACTGATGTGTATTTTTTCACTGTATTATGTAACTACAGAAATAAAAATTCCACTGTTTTTACTTGTTTTTTGATGCCTCTAAGTCTTTTGATCGTATGAATCACAGGAAAATTGTTTAAGAAATTGAGTCAAAGCAGCTGTGCCTAAATATCTCCTTCTATGTCTTTTATTGGTATACTCATCAGACTCTGCAGGTCAAATGGGACCAATGTGTCAGAACCATTTCAGACTTGTCTGTTGTCCCCTGTGCTCTTTAATGTCTATATGTCAGACCTGTCCAGCTGGCTGTATGGTTGGTGGTGCTTTAATGGATCACTGAATGTATGCGGACGACCTGGTGGTGTTTAGCCCGAGTTCAGCCGGTCTGCAGCAGTTGTTAAATGTTTGCTCTAAGTTTGGGGAACTTCAGGATGTAAAATACAACTCCACTAAGAGTGTAATCATGATCTGCCGGACTGAGGAGGACAGATCCTGACTTTATGCTCTCAGGGAACATCTTGACTGTGTGTGATGCGGTCAAGTACCTCGGGCAAATCATAACTGACCGTTTGACCGAGGACGAAGACATGTACCGTCAGTGCAAGATGTTATACGCACAAGCAAACACTGTCTCGGAAATGCTCCTCCTGCTCTGTACAGGTGAAAGTAGCTCTGTTGGAGCCACTGCCTCACCTCTGTACATGGCTCATCTGTGGGAAAAGTCCAGCTTTCAGAAACGTACAGTTTCTTACAATGATGCGCTGAGAATGTTATTAAAAAACCCAGATGGACAAGAGCCAGTGAACTCTGTGTCAAATCAAGTAAACACTTTGCAAACTATCTTAGAAGTGTGATGTTTAAGTGTGAGGATTAGATAGCGATTTGGCCTACGTGCAGGACAACCCGTAAAAATGACTAACTGTACGGACTCCATCTTGGTCTGAGAGAAAGAAACATCAGAAACCACTGGAACTTGAGAGAAACCTAAATAAACTTCCAGAGTTTGGCGCACCACGATCCGTCTCTGTCTGCTTCACGGCGGAGTGTGTTAATGATGGTTTTCTTTGAGACTGTGGTCCCGGCTCTTTTTTGGTCGTTGTGGAGAGGTTGGAGTTTGTTTGAGTGTGTGACTGGTGTCTTTTACAGATGATAATGCTGTTTCAACTACGGTTGAACCTGATAAAATCTCACACAGCAAAATGACAAAGCTAATATTTTACTTGTTACATTGTCACAAGGAGAGATTGTCTTGGGAGAGCCAGGGTACAAAGCTCAGCCTCTCTCATAACCAGTCTGCAAGCCCCTTTTGGTAGAAGACACACCTTCATATGCAGAATAGGAAAGGAAGAAACCAACACAGCAAAAGGACAGTGCAACATTAGCATCCTCAAAGCCTGCTTCCTCTGGTGTTTAACATGAAAACTCAGCCCAGACAGACTAGCCTTCCCGGCAAAGTGAATTACAATACAGACAATATAATCAAGTATTCAGCATAAAATCTAGCCACACATGATTTAACAAAATGACAACTTAAGTTACATTCCAATATCAACAGAGGTGCAGCTAATACAGTCAGTGAGTGGAGACAAGGAGGGCTTCTTCAAGAAGAACTGACTACTAATACTTTTAGTGTATTGCACAATTAATTCGAAATAAAGACTACTACTACTACTACTACTACTAACCCAGGACCTGGGTCTCTCAGGGGCAGGACTGAGGCCAGTGGGGGCTCAGGGTCAGAGGCAGAACCATGTGCAGGAATGATGGATCCTGTTTTGTGTGCAGTGTATACAGCCTGGCATCTGCCTGACATCTGAGAGAAGTGCTGTAGTGACTTCATGACACCTTGAAGCAACTTTTGTTAAAGTTAAACTCATCATTCTATCAATGTGCAGAAGCCTATACTTTTCCAAAACTTGTTTTGTCTATCTGAAGGCCAAGCTACAAGCACACTGTGGCAGCTGCTGATTGGAGGTCTCTGTTTCTCCTGAGTATATTACCACTTGCTGTTGTACCATCCTTGCTCGTGTTGTTCGTGCTGTCTCTACCATCGACAATAAAACATGTCTTCTGTCTGAATTAAAGGCACAATCCCAGACTTTGGCTGATTCATAACAGTGCCATTTACTGGAAACGCTATGTTTCCAGTAAATGCCTGGAGCAAAACTGAAAGAATTCACACAAGGAACTGCCCAAACTGCCAATGTTATCTTTACTGCTCCACCTCTCTTCAACAAGATATAAAGGACTGGGCTCTCAAACAGTGACTTTATAGCTGAGACATACAGACGAAGCCCTACACCGACTCTGACACGATGGCTGCTGAAAGATTGGCAGAAACCTGTGACGTGATCGAAACCAGAGGAAGTCTGAGGATCTTAGGCGTCCCTCTGCAGGAGGATAAGAGCCTGTCCATCTCTGGCTGTAAGCGCTTTGTCTTTGGGCGAGAATCAAACAAGAGTAACTACACTATGATGGTAGTGGGGGGGACAGGGGCCGGGAAGTCTTCCCTCATCAACAGTTTGTTCAACTACATCTCTGCAGTGGAGTGGAACCACCCCTTTCGCTTTAAGATTGTGGTCGAAGACCAGTCCAGCTCCCAGGTCGACAGCCAGACCTCTGAAGTGGTCATCTATCAGATCAACCCCAGAGACGGTTTCAGGATCAACTACCCCCTCACTGTGATCGACACCCCTGGGTACGGAGACTCCCGAGGCCTTCTGCGAGACAAGGAGACCACAGACCAGATCCGGAGGCTCTTCACTGAAGCGTGTGGAGTCTCTGAGGTCCACGCCATCTGCTTCGTGGCTCAGTCCTCATTAGTGCGACTCACTCCTTCACAGAAGTACATCTTCGACTCGCTGCTGTCCATCTTCGGCAAAGACGTGGCTGAGAACATCAGGATCCTGGTGACTTTTGCCGATGGCACAGATTGCTTTGTTTTGGACGCCATAAAAGCTGCACAGATCCCCTGCTCAAAATCAGAGGACGGACACGTGCTGTACTTTGAATTCAACAACGCTGCTATGTTCACTGCCATCAAGTCCAAAGATAAAGGCTTCGGGTTCATGTTTTGGGAATTGGGACTCAAAAACATGGATTTGTTACTGGATAATCTGACTCGCACAAACCCTAAGAGTCTGACACTGTCGGTAGAGGTGTTGAAGGAGAGGAGGCACCTGGAGTATCTGGTGGAAGAATTGCAAAAACAGGTGAAGACTGGTCTTCAAAAACTCGAAGAAATTAAAAACACAGAAGAGGAACTGAAAGACAAGGAGGCAGAGATAAACAGGAACAAGGACTATGAAATCCCAGTGTCCTACACTGAGGTGAAAGAGGAACTTCCTGAGCCTGGATATTACATCACCAACTGTCAGGACTGCCATTACACCTGCCATGCCACCTGCCAGATCGCAGATGATCAAAAGAAACATGGGTGTGTCGCTATGAAGTCTGATGGCACCTGCAACGTGTGTCCAAAAAAATGCCACTGGACAAAACATTTCAATCAGAAATACAAGTGGGTATACGTGACAGTCACAAAGAAGCAAACCATGGAGGACCTGAAGAAGAAGTACTTGGATGCGTCACAGGCGAAGGCTCCAGTGGAGATGTTGATGGACAAACTTCGGCAGGAGTACAACCAGCAGGAGCAGCAGGTGAACGACATCGTGAAGCAGGCCACCTCCGCTCTGAACCGACTGAAGCAGATCGCCCTGAAGCCCACCGGCCTCTCCACCCTGGAGTACATCGACCTGCTCATCCAGAGCGAGAAGAATGAGCACAAACCTGGATGGAACAAATGAGTAGAAGCTCTGGAGAAGGTGAAGAAGAGAACAGAGACTCTGCTGAAGCTGGAGCAGGGACAGGCGCTGCTGGAACCAGGTGAGAAACACCAGAGCGGTCTCAGACCAGGAGCCACTGGTCTGTATCATCTCAGGTCCATTGTTACTATGTTTACTACTTTTACCATTATTACTATATTTACTACTATTAGGAACTCTGACTCACAACAGATTCACAACTTTGTAAAAACGTATTAATTGAATTGTGTGTAATGTGTTACATTGTTTATTTATTACCAGTATTTGCACATTTATGTCTGGATTTCTATATATTACAATAAATAATATGTAATGTGATTGACCGGTTTTAATGGACAAATAAAGGTCTGTTAACAATCAAAATCTCCTCCTCTCCTCCTCTCCCCTCCTCTGCATTATTATAACTAACACTTTAACCCTGTCCCCCACCAGCTCCCTCTGGACAGAAGAGTCCCCCTCCCCCGAGGGTCAGTGACCCCTCTGCAGGTGAGTTCAGAGAGTCCTCTCCTCTACTCTCTCCTCTCCTTTCTCCCCTCTCTCTCCTCTCCTCTTCTCCCCATCCATCCATCCATTTTCTTCCCCTTAATCCATTTCTGGGTCGGGGGGGTGGCAGTCAGAGCTGCACCCAGTTCACAGAGCACCAGCCCCTCACTGATCCTCCTGCAGGTGGTGAGTCCACAGGAGCTGAGATCTTTCAGAGGGGGCTTCGGGCAAAATGGGGTTAAGTGTCTTGCCCAAGGACACAACGACAGCAGTCATCAGTGGGAGTCGTGAAGCAGGTCTTATGGTGGGCTTGAACCCACGACCTTCAGGCTCAAAGGCCAATGCTCTACCAACTGAGCCACTGTCGCCCTCACCCCTCTCTCCTCTCTAATACTGTGTAACCCCGTCCCCCGGGGATCAGTGACCCTCTGTCGGTGAGTTCTGAGTCCCCTCAGCACAATCTGTAAATAGAGGCTCAAACACTCATCAACAAAACAACAAAGACCAGAATAAGTTCTTCATTTTCACAAATGTAAAGGTAAAGGTAAACTTTACCAATCCTCGTAGGGGCAATTCATCCTCTGCATTTGACCCTGATGGCCTAAGGCTTACGTCAGGAGCAGTGGTCCATCTCCAGATGTTGATGCTCGGCTTGGTCAGGACCAGAGCTGGAGGATTTAACCTTGTGTTAAATGTGTCTTTTTCAGGTTCTTCCTCTGCGTCAAACAGCAACAAGCAGTGGATCTGCAGCCTGATGTAAAACTGGAGAGAGATCCACATGGTACTTTTAGGCAGGGTTATATGGGAGTTTCATGGTTTAAAGCTGAACTATGCAACATTGGTGGAGGTACATAAATTAATATACTTGTTAGAAGCACGGCTAACCACAATGATTTAGATGCAAAGCAAATAACAGAAACGACCTGGCTCTTTATGCAAATTTCACAGTGTTCATACAAGGATCAAAAACAATGTAGTTCTAGTGCCTGGCCAGTAGGGGGCAGAGGAACTTAACATAACACATGAGAAGGAGGAGAGGGGAGAGAAGGAGGAGAGGAGGGAGGAGTGGGGAGAGAAGGAGAAGAGGAGAGGGGGAGAGAAGGAGAAGAGGAGGGAGGAGTGGGGAGAGAAGGAGAAGAGGAGGGAGGGGAGGAGAGAAGGAGAAGAGGGGAGAGAAGGAGGAGAGGAGGGAGGAGGGGGGAGGAGATGGAAGGAGAGAGGGTAGAGGAGAGTAGGAGGGAGGGGAGCGGGAGAGGAGGGAGGAGAGGAGGAGGGAGGAGAGCGGGAGAGGAGAGGGGGAGGAGATGTATGGAGAGAGGGGAGAGGAGAGGGGGAGGAGATGTATGGAGAGAGGGGAGAGGAGAGGAGGAGGGAGGGGAGCGGGAGAGGAGGAGAAGAGGGAGGAGAGGAGGAGGGAGGTGGAGATGGGAGAGGAGAGGAGGGGAGATTTAATACAGTTTATTTGTGTATCGCCCTAAATCACAGCTCGACTGTTGACACAAAAACACAGGTTTTTATGTTGTGACACAGGTGTGAAGTGATTAGCAGTGCTTCTAAGTTTGGTGAAGCGGTTATTCAGAAAACTATCTCTTTGAGACTTTATAAAAGTCTCAATCTAAAACTGTAACTGTCTCTTCTCCGTCTTACACTGGTCCAGACCTGGAGTGGTTTTTAGATCCATTCACGCTCAGATTCTGACTTTAAAACCAAAGTATTTCAGCTAAATTAGTTTTGGTGATAACATTTTCCACTGTCTGATGTTTTCCAATGATTGAAAAGAAGAAATATGTTTATTCTTCTTGATTAAACTCTAAATCCTGACTGTCCTGAGTTTCTCTCTTGTGTCCCTCGTGATAAACCAGTCACTAAAAAGCACCAGCAGCTACCAAAGGCTTCTATGTGTTTGTTATTATTGTATTTCCTGTGTTAAACTAGATTCTCTTGAGCCTACTTAAAGACCTTATGACGGGTTTGATTTATTTAGAAATACAGTTTTAATACCATTTTATATTAGGTATTAATATACCTAATATTAATACCTACCTTCAGAAACCGGAGAACTACAAAAGGTTTCAAAATCAGTTGTTTTTTTGTCTGATCCCCCCAAATCGAAATAACCCCATAGCAACGCCTTTAGAAACGAAAAAACTTCACAGCCCTTGGTGACGTCAGAGCGGGTACGTTTCAACGCTATAAGTTGTTTACAATTTGGTATTCGTTCTTTTTTCGCGGATATTCAAGATGACAAGGCCGTTTACAGCGAGTCTAAGATAACCAAGTTTCGTTGTCACTGAGATAGTCCAGTGGTTGTGTCGATGGACTGCCAATCCAGACACTTGGGTTCAAATCCCACCTCAGACACTTTTTCACACTCAAAACGGCAATTTATGTGTAGTGAGCAATTGTCACCTGTAGAGGGCAGTATTGTGTTGGGCATCAGTGGAGAGAAGAGAGAAAAGGCAGTCCTGTGGCATAGATCCATGGTTTTCAATGCATGGGCGTAACCCGCTGTGACGTCACACACAGGTTAGAGCATAGACAACTTAAATTCATGAAAAACACGTTCTTTTTATAAAATATAGAATTTTTTTGCCGGAATCTCTTTCAAATTGACATTGTCATGCAATTTTGATATCCACTATTTAAAAAAAAAAAAACCGTCATAAGGTCTTTAACCCTCTGATGCATGAATTATGAAAGCCTTGGTCAAGATTTTTTTCTGAAGTGATTTTATTCTTCTCAGGACATAAAAAAAAGAGTCCAACTTTGTTTTTCCAAAAATACATTTTTTTCATAAAGTTACAGACATGTCCAATCCAGTGGACTACATGCGCCTCAGCACTCAACATGAAATTTTGTGAACTTACTGTAAACATTAATTAACTTGTGTTCTATTGTAAATATGCAAACACTTGTTTCTTTTTATGCTTTGTAAAACATTTCAGCATTTTTTGGGAAATTTCAACACTGTATAAGCGTAGTGTTTAGGCCTGAATAAGAAAACCAGTGACACTCATAGCCATGAATCTTAGACCTGAATATGTCAAACCATCTCCAACAGGAGAAACATTATTGAGTCTCCACAGTTCTATAAGGATGCAGGACAGTATTATCAAGCCCTTATATTGTCATGGAAGAAAACACGAACTGACATTTTAATCTCTGCTTCTCCAAACAGTTCTACAGTATGTTCATCACACCTAGGCTGTATGAAAGTTTGCAAAGCATCCAGGGCACAGTGGCACACAGCAGTGCATGCAGATGTATTTGGTCTTCCGTGTGCATGCAGCATCATGGCATCTGTTTGCATTTTTGACCTTGGTGAGTTGAGGCCAGTGATATCCTGCACCAAACCTCACCTCACGTGCTACTCTGGTGACTGCTTTCCGCTTCACGGGTTGTGGGGTCTCAATGGGTCTTCCTCTTTTGTTTTGCTGGAGGGTGCCACTATTTATCAGTGCACGAGCCACAGAAGCTTTGAAGAGGAGGAGTCTCATCTTTTCCAAACCAGACATCAGGTAGAGGCGCCAGGCATTTACAATGGTCACATCCAAAAAATGAAAAAACACTCGGATGTACCACCTCTTGTTTCGACGTCTGTGGGGGTACATTGCGAGACATTGGTCAACAAGATCAACCCCACCCATGTGTTGATTGTAAAGAGCCACAGAGAAGTGGCTTTATCCTTCTTCACCCATCGGTTGGCAACATCTTCAGGGGACTGGCCAGCACAGGACGAGACCATGTGAACGACTGAACTGTCGAGCCAACGTGTGACAGTGATGTTTGCATTATTGCTGACAACAGAGCAAGCTCCTCTGCCCATTTCTTTCATTTGTTTTTGACTCTTCAGTTTCTGATTTGCTCCCTTCAGCCGGTTTGCCCTGCATGTACCAGTGCCGTAGATGCCATGGTCTTTCAAGGCTTCTATGAGTGGAATGCTGCAGAAGAAGTTATCAAAAAACACCTTGTGATTTTTGTGTTTTATGTCATCACAAAGACGCATCACCACATCTCCAGCCATTCCCAATCCACTGATGCAACCACTACTTGCAGAACCTTGGTACACTTCGAATCTATTTGTATAGCCTGAGGTTCCTGCCCTCACCCACACTTTCACTCCCCAGGGTTTGGGTTTTTTTGGTATGTATTGTTTGATGGACAGTAGACCTTTGAAAGGAATGATCTGTTCATCAACTGACTGAAATTCCTCTGGGTCTGCTGCTGCCTTGAATGTCTCCTGAAGTGCACTTAGGAATGGTCTTATTTTGAAGAGCCTATCCATGTTCGCTTGCTGGTAAGTCAAGTTATCAACAAAGTGTAGGTATCTCAGGATTTGCTCATATCTGTTTACAGACATGGCATTTGCAATTATTCCAAGACGAAGGCCATCGTCACTAGACCAGTACATTCGTGCCCTAGGATACCGAATGTACCCCATGATCAGGTTGATCCCTAAAACAATCTGCATTTCTTCTCCTGTCACTGCCAGATTTTCTTTCCCTTTCTGGAGAGCATACAAGTTGGTGTTGTATGCTATATCATCAATGAGATCAGCTGGAAACAGATGCCTGAAGAAATCTATGGGATCTTTTCCCTCCACATTCAATTTCCACTCTCCTAGAAAAGGAGGCAGGTCTCCATCAAAGTCATTGTCTTGGACTTTCCAGATATTTTTGCGGGCTTGAGTATGGTCAGGTGCCATGTGCCCATCTTCCACAGCTCCCTGATCATGCTGACCTTCCTCTGCATCCTGACCCTCATCATCCTCACTTTCTGCATCCTGACTGTCTGTATCTCCATCATCCTCAGCTTCCATGTCTCTGTTCTTCTCTGGCAGCCACTCTTCATCACTGATGTCACTACACTCATCATCACTGGAGTTGGATGGCATTTCCTGGACTATTCTGTACGCTGCCTTGTTCTTTGCTGCATTTGAACTCTACAAAATATGATAAAATAATTAATATAGTAACTCAAACTACATCTAATCTGCATAGAAATGTATATTCAAATGAATAGATTGTAAATATAACAATTATACACTGATTTATAATCAAAACAGTCACAAGAAACAGTGAGGCAATGTATGTCTTGTTTAAAAAAAATATTCTTGGTAATGCATGATGTCCACTTCATTGGACATATGGTTAATCGTACTTTTCTAAATATTGGACATACAAATTTCATATTCCAAACAGATAATATCCTTCCCTAGATGTTACTGTAAATCATCATATTTTTTTTTACCAGTGGGGCTCTTCCAGAATAGAAGGATTGACAAGATATGCCAGCAGTGGTCGGCAGGGGTGGCTGTTTGTCGGCCATCTTGGATTCAGAGGAAATTTACTTGCAGTTACACCGACTGAACACTGAATTGACCTCAATAGAGTATGGCAGCAGAGAGCACTCTAGAGGCTGATATGCAGTTAAACCATAGAAACCAATGCATTAAAGAGAAAATGACGTTTTAGTAGCTGTCCACTGCAGTGACCGTTATGCACCAGAGGGTTAATAATCTGTATGATCTAAATCAATCTGTGTGAGGCAGGTTTTAGACCCCTCGTCTCTGGTGACGGTCACTGCTCCTCTATGTTGGAATCAAACTGAATTAGAATTTTCCACAAAGTACACACAAAAAATACTAGGAGTTCTTACAATCTTGGGTCACATTGGACCGTGTTGGGACGGTCTTGGGTCACATTGGACCGTGTTGGGACGGTCTTGGGTCACATGTTAGCATGATGTAAAGAGCAGGTCGCTAACACTGGAGGTCACGCACACAACCAGGAAGTGTCAGGGCGAGTTTATGAATCATAATTATTAATCCTTTGTTCAAATGTTTATTTATTTCTGTAATTCTACTGTTATTTAAAACCAACATCCTGCACATTTTAAATATTAGAACCAGGAAGTACCATCACATTAGTCCTGGTCTCAGGACTCTGCACCTGTGACTCAGACTAGACTTTAGAGCACAGGGACTGGCCTCCTGCTGGGACTCTGAGGAGCACAGGGACTGGCCTCCTGCTGGGACTCTGAGGAGCACAGGGACTGGCCTCCTGACTCTGAGGAGCACAGGGACTGGCCTCCTGCTGGGACTCTGAGGAGCACAGGGACTGGCCTCCTGACTCTGAGGAGCACAGGGACTGGCCTCCTGCTGGGACTCTGAGGAGCACAGGGACTGGCCTCCTGACTCTGAGGAGCACAGGGACTGGCCTCCTGCTGGGACTCTGAGGAGCACAGGGACTGGCCTCCTGCTGGGACTCTGAGGAGCACAGGGACTGGCCTCCTGCTGGGACTCTGAGGAGCACAGGGACTGGCCTCCTGCTGGGACTCTGAGGAGCACAGGGACTGGACTCCTGCTGGGACTCTGAGGAGCACAGGGACTGGACTCCTGCTGGGACTCTGAGGAGCACAGGGACTGGACTCCTGCTGGGACTCTGAGGAGCACAGGGACTGGCCTCCTGCTGGGACTCTGAGGAGCACAGGGACTGGACTCCTGCTGGGACTCTGAGGAGCACAGGGACTGGACTCCTGCTGGGACTCTGAGGAGCACAGGGACTGGACTCCTGCTGGGACTCTGAGGAGCACAGGGACTGGACTCCTGCTGGGACTCTGAGGAGCACAGGGACTGGACTCCTGCTGGGACTCTGAGGAGCACAGGGACT